GTGAATTCTGAGTTTCATGGGAACCTAGGTTGAAATAAAGATTACATCTTCTTTTACTGGAGTGTAAATTATTTGAAGATCTCTAAAGAGTCTGCCTCAACATGTTCAGTATCACTAAAACGTTTAAAAAATTAAGAAACCAGAGTCTTGGGTATATTTTCTTTCCTTTTTTCCTTTCTAACTTATTCAGGGAAAGGATAATTGCAACCATTTGGGGTGTCTGAGCCCCAAGTACATATGCAAACTTATCTTCTAATGGTAAATAGTGTATTCTCTGTTTCAGCAGTAGAGCTTGCTTAAAGAAACAGCAAAATGTCAACTCCACTAAGGTTGACTCATTATTAAAGTTCAAATAATTTAAAAATTGAAGCTTGTTTATATTTTAGTATTGGGAGCTTTATTTTAAATATTGACAAATCAGATAAATTATTGCTATTTCATTTATTTTATTTCTTGTAAAACTGTTTAATTTTCCTTGGTAAGAATTTTTTAACCTACCCAGAAACAATTGCTGACAAAAATTGACATGATCATTCTTCTAGAGACTAAGAGCAAATAACTTTTTCTTGCTCTTTATGGCCTCAGGTTAATAGATATGGAAAGGTTGAAACCTAAGTTGCCCCAATGTTTCACCCTTCTTGGGTGCTTATGAGCTATTTCATAAATGACTTTCCCCAGTTCTAGTTATAGAGAGTGAGGGCCTAGGGGCAATGAATCCAGACAGAAACCATCTCTTTGGTCAAGTTATTGTTTTGAAGTGTTAATAAAACCATTAAAGCTACTTGAGTCAATGACCCATATGGTTGTGTGTTTGAGACTTCAGCCATGATGGACTTTGTAGTTTTACTGCATCTCAGCCCAGTTTAGCAGTGGTCTGTTGGAAAGTTTGTTTGTTTGTGGTTAAATTTAAGCATTCTCTTTTAGTTGAAAATAACAAATAACTTTCAATTTTTTTTTTAATGAATTTAAGCATCTGTAGCTGCTAAGTTAGACAGTAAAGGCAGGTTGTGAGAGTGGCTTGTTTGTAAATTTCAGGTGGTTGTGTCTCTTAGATAATGAATAATTTATATTTCAATATTAATTCCTAGCCTATACATTGTAATTGTCTATTGTATAATGTCTCAAAACTAAATCTTAAGTTTAATATTAATAATGTATTGAGTTGATAATATATAATCTTGTAAAATTTTGAAAAATTATTCCAGAATTACCTCTCCAAAAGATTAGATAGAGTCTTGTAATGGGACAGAAGTGACATTGTTCCTTAGAAACATTATAGGAAAAGATCTCTTGACTTCTATGAGAAGGTTGGAAGAACACTTCTATGATATATTTAGCACATAGGCATGAGGTTTTGAGAACGTATTTTCAACTTCATTTTAAAAGATGGAAATGGCATAGAAAAGGAATGGAGTGAGTTTACACTTTGCATTGAGCAGTTTTTAGTCAGGCAATCGCTATAACATTGAGAGTATGCCAGTTATATTAGGTGTCTGCCTTTCTCTGGGTTTATCACTCTGAAACCTGCAACAGTATCTTACAACATATTTTACTCCTTATGCCAAAGAAACCACTGGAATTTGAAATTTCGTATCTGGTTGGATTATTGTAGAAATCTCATTGATATTCCTAATTCTAGTCAATCCAGTTTGCTGGTTTTTGTTTGGTTTTGCCCTCATATATTCAGTAGTGGTTATATCAGCGATTTCTCATTATGCCCAGTGATTTGGAGTAAGAGAAAAGAGTTCTGTAAGATACTCCTCCCTAGTTTGTCACTTCACATCATGTTTATCTTCTAGATCAGTCTTTCTGAAATGCCATATAATACCTGTAGTATTTATTAGATCTAAGATGATTTCTGTTGTGAAAGAGCTCACATTCTAATAAATTGTTGTATATGTTTGTGAAAGATTGTATTAGAGGACCTTGAAGATTCTGTGATACTTAGGTCTTTCAAGCCAGATGGACGTTTACTTTGTCCACAAAACTTTCCCTGACTGAAAAAATTATCTTTTGCTTTTAAGTTTGTAATTTCAATTAGACTATGTTTTTGACCTACTTGCTAATGTATCTCTTGACCTTTTTTTCTTTCTGTCTTTCTTTCTGTCTTTCTTTCTTTCTTTATGCCCGAAAGTGCCATTCATTGTATGGAGATCATAGAACTTCTATCACAAACTACACAGGAAATAGAATAGCAAATTCAAGTGATAGGAAATGTGAAAGAAAAAAAGGTAAAAGTTTTTGATGGTAGGTGAATATTTAAGTGGTCTGAATCTTAACCTGGTTGCTAGATTTTAAGGGAATAAACCATCCGCTGTAAAATCAATGTTGAGGTAGTTTTTGCAAAAAATTTTTTACATTTTTCATTTTTTAACAGTGTTTATGTTTTTTTAACTTTGTTTCTTATGGTAGTTTTAACTTTGTTTCTTATAGCAGTTTAAAGTTCACAGACAAATTAATCAGAAAGTATAGTTTCCTTATATCCCTGTCCTCACACAAACACAAACTCCTCCCCTCACTGTTGACCTTCCACACCATTGTTGTGCATTTGCTACTGTGAAGAACAATTGAGTGAACAATTTGTTATAGTCAGTGAAATTTAATATTTTTCAACTTTTTTTTAGACTTTTATCGCTTAGAAAATGTCATTTTTGAAAAAGCCTCTATTTTTGAAATTTAAGAAAAAATGTTATCCTATAGTTAATGATGTAACATAATAACAATGACAATAACAACAAATAGCGCTTGAAAATAGTGGCTACTTTTTACCATGCAACTTTGTAGTTGTAAAAAGTTTTGTTATGTTTTGGTGGTATGTATATATCGTTACTTTTCAGATTTCTTTATTTGGTTCAGATTTTTTATTGAAGTACCATTGGTGTACATCATTGTTAGTAATTTGAAAATATAGGATCTCCCCCTTCAGGTGTAGTCGCCACAGTGCACCCACCACCAGAGCACCCATAGTCTACCATCATATTCCGTTGTGCTCTCTCCTCACTTTCTTCTTGCCCTTTCTTCCTCCTCCCTGTCTTTTTCCTTCAGTTTTGTGGCCAGCTTTGAAGGCACAGTTTTTAAGCTTCACTGATTCTTTGGTTTTTCTGTATCCCACATATAAGTAACACCATTGGTATTTGTCTTTCTCTTAACTTTTTTCACTTAGCATAATCCCATCCAGCTCCATCCATGTTGTCACAAATGGCATGAGTTTATCTTTTTTGATCACTGAATCCATCAATCTACTGACCTGTTCATTTGTTTTTGGGCACTTAGTTGTATCCATAGATAGCCTGGCTATTGTGTGTAGTGCTGCAGTAAACATAGGGATGTACGTTTCCTTTCAAATCAGTATTTTTGTATTCTTCAGGTAGATTCCTAGGAGTAGAATTGCTGGGTCACATGACAGATCCATTTATAGGGTTTCTCTTGAGAAACCTCCATACTGTTTTCCATAGATGTTGGGCCAATCTACATTCCTACCAACAGTATATGAGGGTTCCTTTTTTTCTACACTCTCCCAGGAACCACTTGATTACGTATGTTGAATTATTAGCTTCATTTTATGGAAGATGAGATAGAGATACAGAATCGTCAAATAACCTATCCAAAGACATGCTGCTAGTAGACTGTGGATTATATCCCTGGGAGTTTGGGACCAGGGTCCTAGGTCTTACACCAGTGTGCTGTACTGCCACTTCATAAACATTTTTGTATTTTTTAATTTACTTATTTGGTATATTAGGTTTCATGTAGAAATTCAGTCTTACTTGTTGGAGTTGGTTAGAGGAGGAGCCAGCAAAAAGTATACGATTTGGTCATCAAGGAGGAGTAGAACAAGGGATGTGGTAGACCTTGTGGGATAACCACTGAGATTTAAGATAAGGAGAGATAATTTGGCAAGATGAAGTGATCCTGATAGTAGTAGGTGTTTGGATGGGTGGGCTAAAACAGAAATCAGATGGGAACTGCATGGAGATATGAGAAAACAGAAACCATGAAAACAAGTTTTTGAAAAATGACTGTAAGTATGAAGAAGGGGGAGGGCTATAGAATGAAGGAAAAATGTTTTCTTTTAGAAAGATGAGAGAGGATTTATATATGCTGATAGGAAGGTTTTAAATAGAGAAGAGATTAAAGAAGTTACAGAAGCTAGTTATTTAATGGTTGTGATTTTTGAAAATTAAAGCAGGTGTATGTGAAGCACAGATACAGGGATTTGCTGTATGTAGAGGATGCTCTATATCTAGATGGTGCAGGAGATGACTGGTACATAGGCAAGTAACTGTGAGGTGGTTGGTGGTGGTTATTTTCTCTGGAGCAGTCTTCTACTAAAGTTGGAGAGTTAGACGTTTGAGGGAGGTTCAGGGTATGAGGAAATGAGAGAAAGTTTGAATTAGCTGTTACAAAGAACAGGAGGAAAAGGATTGATCATAGCAAACTTAGGGGATTTATGGACACTGATTTTTGTACAGACTCACTGACTTTAAGTTTGTGAGGATGACATGAGTTAAATTTTGTTTTTCTAGTGACTTCAGGCCAGTTCTGCTGTTACACTTAATATAGTTAATGCTCTTTAATCATTCGCTGCCACCTTGGAATTAAAAAATAGACATACTGCTTTTATAACTTGTCAAACCAGTATTTTAAGTGTGTAGAAAAGATTGCATTTAGAGAAAGATGAAAAAGATCACTACTTTTCATTTCATTTTGATACTGTTACATAATGGGAATATTTCTTGGGAATAAATTTTGAATGTTTATGCCAATTTTTTCACTTGGATATCACCCTTTAGTAACTTGTAGAGAATTATGACATGAGATTAATATTTTAAGTTTAAACACATGTAATCTTGGACACCTAATTGCCAGAATAATATAACTAGTAAACTCATCTTTTTTAAAGTGTAATTTTCAAAATGTGTAGAGAATGTTTCCAGCAATGTCCTCAAATCTAAATTTATTCATTGTTAAACTTGGTTTTTGTTTTGTTTTTTGCACAGGGTGTGATAGGGATACAGCTGGTCGTTACGATGGTGATGGCCAGTGTCATGCAGAAGATTATACCTCACTATTCTCTTGCTCGATGGCTACTCTGTAATGGCAGGTAAGGCAAGGATAGGCTGATTATGACTGGCACTTTCAAATATATTTAGTTTGTCAGAATGATTAACTTCCTAGAAATTAAGCACTAACTCCTGTCTTCTAAAAACATGACAAAGGAAAATTATTAGAAAAATCTAGTTTTCTTCTTTCTCTTGAGAGATTAATAGTTTATATTTAGCATAGAAATAATAGGGTCATGGTCAAGAATTCATTACCCTCACTTCCCTGTCCCATTCTGTCCATGCCTGCTGAAAATACCATGTAACTTTCCTAATTACCTTTTAAAATTTTGATTAGCAAGGGCATGAGACTATAAATTGTTTGAGAAATGACTCAGTAACAATCTATACTATTGTTAATGGCAGTTGAGAGTTTATTATAAGCATTAGTGTTTCTTTGTTTTACTACAAAGAATTTTAAACTTTAACAAGGAGGAGGTGAAGTTATTTTGTAGGGTTTTCATTTTGTCTACTGCACTATAAACTCACCACTATCCTCACTCCTTCCACAAAGGAACTAGGTTGTCTGGCTGAAATTTGTAAAGTAATAAAAGTAAAGTAAAGAAGTTAAATATAAGAGTTATAATCAGGCAGAAGCAGGAAACTATGCATATAGAAATACATGCCCAATTCCTGTGGAATCATGAAAGGTAAATTATATTTGGTATTATCACTATAGTTTTACTCTAATACTCATCTCCAATAAATACTCAGATTCTCTTACTTGATTTAATATGTCCATTTTCTTTTGTTTAGACTTTTGAAGTTAGGAAACAGTGAATAGTTTTCATCCTCCTAATGATTTCATACATTGCAAGACAAATGAGTCTTTATCGCAAGGCCATGCTATCTGTAAAGCTTAAATTTTCTCCCTAGAATTTTTCTTCCAGTTTTATTAAGATGTAATTGCTATATATCACTGTATATGTTTAAGGCATAGAACATGATGGTTTGATTTATATACATTATAAATGTTTGCCATACTTCAACTAACATTATTCTTACATAGGTTTAGTATAAAGAAAAAAAAAAGATGAAAAAAAGAAAAGAAAAATAAAGGTTTTCTTCTTGTAATGATGACTTATGGATTCCTCTATAGAATTTATTTTCTATTTTTAATTTTTCATATTCTTCTCTATGCTTTATACTTTTTATTTAATAAAGGTTAAGAACTTTTTTTTTGCGTGGAAGAACTGGTGTGTAAGCCAGAGGTGCAGGATGTGAGAGACAGAGTGGGGAGCATAACAGGCAGATTTACTGAAATACACTGCTAAGGGAAGCAGTGGGCGAGACAGGAGAGGTCTGCTGTGCCATATGTGGGTTAGCTTCCTGGTTGGGGGATTGAACTCAGGCCTCAGTGGTGACAGGGCTGAGACTTAACCCAGAGGCCCTTCTTTATACTTTCTGTATATCAATTTGAAATACAGAAAAACAGTATTCAGACTTAGACAATTTTTTAACTATGTAGATTTATAGCCTGTGCAGTATTGTTTACATTTTTTTATTTAGCAAAACCCTTTCTTGTAGATTGTAAAGGGTAAAAGATCAGCTTGGTGAGTTGTCATTAATTCTAAATAAATGAATCTGGTTAATAAATTAGGTAAAACAAATTAAAGTAGCTTATTTTCTACTGAGAATTGTATGTCTAAACTTTTTTATAATGATGTGCTAGTGAGACTTCCAAATCTCTTTTGGGCTGTAAAGGTCTTGACAGTCTTCCCATTTAGTCTGTAGGCAGTTTTCTGTTTTTGCATAATCTGCTTTCCATTTGTTTCTATAAAACTTACATTCATCAGTAAAAGCTAAAACTTCAGAGATTGAACATCAGCTTCTCTTTATTAATGTTGGATAATGAATTAAAGAATTAACTTTTGTGCAAATATGTGTCATTAAGTATACATGCTACTAATTTCAGGGGGAGCTCAGCCTTTAAAAGTAACAAAGTTGACAGATTTTTTATGTGATCTCGCTTTCTTTTGTTAGGAGATTAACTTTAGTATTAATAAATGCTATCTCTAATGTCAAATCAAGTTCCAAAGATACAAGCAGGTTTCTGGTAATCATTACTTTTCTGCTCTAGTTAGCTTTTTTTCCTATTTTTTTTTGTATTTTCAAAATGATCTACCTTTCTTTAATTTTTTTTTTTATAGAGGCATGTTTTATTTATTTATTTGTTTGTTTTTTTGTTTTATTTATACATGCACTGGGTACAGTCAGAAGCGCGGGAGGGTGAGAGAATTCACCAGAGTCAGAGCGGGGAGCAGAGCAGGCAGAAGGACCGAAGTACACTGCTGAGGGGAGCAGCGGGCAGCAGGAGAGGTCTGCGCGCCATGTGGGACCCTCCTCCGGTGGCCGGGGAGCAGCGGGCAGCAGGAGAGGTCTGCGCGCCATGTGGGACCCTCCTCCGGTGGCCGGGGAGCAGCTGGGGATCGAACCGGCACTGCAGAGGCCGCGGGCAGCTTCGCAACCCAGCGCTCAACCGCTGCGCCACCGGGGAGGCCCCTACCTTTCTTTAATTTTAATGTTGAAGTTTTTAGGTTACAAAAGCCAAATTACTGAAAATTATTGTCTAACTTTGTAGCATAAGATCAATGATTTTATCCTTTAGGGATAGTTGCTGGTTTACCAGCCTTTTATGATATGAAATTGTACTGTTTTTATATTCAGAAAATCTAAAATTTCCTTTAAATTGTTCCTGTAAAAAATATTGATCAGAAATGATAGTTTGCATTTTAAACTATGTGATACTGCTGAGTTGAAGAAAGAAAAATCTAAGGGCATTTTTTATTATTATGGAATGCTTAATAGAATTTGAGAGGTTCACACAAACTTCTTAGAACTTAATAATATAGAATAGCTTGGGAGTATATTGGGACTTAAATAAAACTACTTATAGAACTGTTTTAGTGACTAGATGTATAAATACCACAATAGGTTAATCATTAATATGGCGGGAGAAACTTTAGTTTTTGCATGTATTAATATTTATTCCACTATTATTATACCTCATTGTAAATGCTCACATTTTTCCTTAAAGTTACAGTTTCTCTTTTAGTGTCGTATAAAATAAATCTTTGTTTAGATCTGTCATCTACCTCTGTCCCTTTTGGAAAGGAGGGTTTGAAATGGTACTGAATTCTATTATTTTGACTTAATTAGTAAGCTTGCCATTTTCCTGAGTCAGTATGTTGAAGAAATAACAATTTTTGCTTCTAAATTAGCGATCTAATTTTTAATATTGATTTTTAATATTAAAATATTGGATAGCATTTTTTAGCTCTTATTAAATAATTTATATATTGCCATTAGTATTGTATATCTCTAATTTTGTTAAAAGTCTGCATGATCTTTGCTTTAATTCTGTTTTACTACCTTTACAATGTTATAAAACTATAAAACTTTGTACTGACAAAATTTATATCACTTGTCTCATTTGGATCTGTACAGACTGAGCTAAGTATAAAAAGCTCAGTGAACTTCATTAAAGATTCTCATTCAGGAATCAGGATCAAACCGAGGCATCAGAGAGGAATTAGACAGCAGTACAGGTTGATCTTTCACAACATAAATGGTCATTCAACTATTCAGCTATCCTTTAAGGCTTCTAGGCTTGAAGAGATTCTAGGCTTCTGTCTTGTGGCTCCTCTGTTCCTCCTGCTATCTTGGAGTCCTCTGTTAGATGCTGTGCCAGTTAGCAAGAAAAGAGAGAATTGAACTGTGAATCGAAGTGATTCTAGTGGCCAGGCTTAGAAGTAAATACCTCATTTCTGCCTATGTGACATAGACTAGGGCCCTGTTCTGCCAAAGTGCAAGGGAGGTTTGAAGTTGTAGTTTTCATTTTACTTACAAATGATGAATTCTTTTCAATGTTAGTGATATTTTCTCCATTTTTAAGAATGAAACAAGTAACTTGACTTGCATTGCCATACTGAGAAATGAAATAGAAAGTCTAATTCATTCGGCTACTATACACCTTATCCTGGAGCTGAATATTTACTTGAACTGAGTTTTGAATTTGGTGGAGGAGACAAGGAAAAACCTTTCTACAAGCACTGTGATTGCTGTGAGCATTTTGTGTAGTAAAAAAAATTTTTTTTACCTTCATCCTCTAACTGTCCTGTATCTTTTAAAAGATGTCTTTCGGGTTATAGGTAGTATATGGTGTTTCTTCACTTACTATGTAACTTTGACTTCTCTGTGACTACATAATCACTATTTAATTTAAATTAAAAATTATATCAGTATTGATTTTGATATTAAAAACATGCCAACTAGAACTAGAGTTTAAGAAATACCTATTCAAATTATATCTCTTGCCTTGCCATTTGAAATTAAATATATATCATCCTGCTAAATGACAAAAATTTTGTTTTCTCTTCCAGTTTTTATAGAAATATTTTTCTAGAAAATATTCTCTTTTTTTACATGCCTTTTTATATGACTCTCAGATTTTGTTGACAGAATTCCTGCTTTAACAAGAACTTAGTATCAAAAGCTCTTCTGTCCTTATCCTATAAGCATGTATTATTGAAATTGAAAAATTCAGTGTGAAAAATTTAGTGCTATGATTGTTGTATTCTTCCCTCCCTCCCCAAAGGGAAGTAAAATCATGGGAAACTGGTTTCTGTGTACCTTTAGTGTGAACTGGGCTTTCTATAGCACAAGAAATACTTGTTCCAACAGTTTTCTCAAGTCGCATGAAGATAAGTTAGTTCTTTATCATGTCCAGCATACCACTGATTTCTAGCTAAAGTATTCTCTACTTTCTGTTGTAATTAAAGTTCCTTTTTGTTTTGAAGTTTGCTGGGCCCCTCTTTTCATGGAGAGGTAAGTGATAGGTTACATTCTTCGTACATTTGAATAGTGGGTTTTGCATGAGGAGTAGGATTTTGCTTTGTTTCCTAATAGCTTCCTTGCTGAACCTGCTGCCCATTTTCCTGATTGTTCAGCTAAAGTCTCTACCCCTTTATCTCCCTAGGCTCTCTCTTTGGTCTGCTACTTC